TTAAATATTTTTAAAATATATAACACTACTATATATGATTTCGGGAGGGGACCATGGGTTCACGTGAACCCGGTGACCCCCTCATGTATACGCCCCTGGGTGTAGGACTGCATAAAGAGACTAGCCTGGCTATCCTTGGAATCTAGCACTGTTCCTTTTTATTACAAACACACAAAAAAAACATTTAATGAGAGAAAAAATTAGATAGATGATGAAGAAATCAAAGATCAAGGTATGGTACATTAAAACGTACAACTTTGGGAAGTTCTTCTACTTGGTAAGTAGCAGTACTGAGAACAACCATGGAAGTCAACAAGACTTTGAATTGCTTTGTAGTTGCCATCTTGTTTATGGGATCGTCAGCACACTGATCAAACTGATCAAAATAAGAAAAGAATAAGTTAAATGAAGTCAAAGATCCTTCTATCTAAAACCATACTAAATGATAAGAAAATTATCTATATAGTAGACTATTACTGTTTTTAATGTTATTAGCTTATGAAAAGGGCATTTTTCTATAATGACTATAAATTGGTAAACTTAATATAGCCAGACAAAGAAGTCATCTGACAGCCACTTAAACTACACAAATAGATAAAAAGAAATTGATACATCATTAATAACAATAATATATGCTAATTTTGCTTAAAGAAAGACCAACAGAAAGTGGTCACTTTTTATTGCAGTTATCAAAACAAAAAGGCATGGTGTGTATTTAAAAAGTTATTCCTGCATCTCGCTGGGCAAACATGCAAACATTTGGAGTTTGATTAGTAACAGGGTGATCTCAAAAGATATACCTTGATTGACCTCTTAGAGTTGCCTCACTTTGTCGAAACAGAGTTAATGCACCAGAGGAAATGATCTGATGTATCATGTATCCAGTCTTTCAACTACATTCATATGAATAGGAAGTAGGGACATCATATGCGTAGGGCCGTTAGGCATAGCACACATTCAAGTATCACCAGTAATCCCCACATGAGCAAGAGCCATCTTTGAAATGGTGGAACCGGTTAATATCTCTAATAATGATCTCCCTTGAGACAATTTTACAAATGAACTTGAATGCTGTATGGCAGTCCAAACAAATCCGAAGATTCTTCTTCACTCTAATAGGAACACCAGGAGGTGTAGCAATCAGCCCAAATGCAACAGCTAGTTTCTCACTATGATAGGAGAGAAGAATCTCCTTTTGTCTCCTCTCTACATCATGGAGATCAATATCTACCATAGGAACATAACCAGCTTTAGCCATTAGCTGTCCCAGTTCCTCCAGTTTGGCATATATATCATCACTTCGCGGATGGCTTCTGTCTCCAACTATAAATGTGTAAATACTATCTTTCACTTCAATCCAACTCATACCAGGTTCCTTTTTTACTCTACTGCTCTTCATAAATCTTCTTACTTTTGCAACATCTCCCCACAACCCAACTGATGCATAAATATTTGCAAGGAGAACATGAGTGCCAGATTTCTCTGGTTCAAGGCTAAAAAGCATCTCAGCAGCATGTTTTCCTACCTCTACATTCTTGTGGATTCTTGCAGCACCAAGAAGTGCACCCCAGACAGATGCATTAGCTTCAAAAGGCATCTTATTTACGAGCTCAATAGCATCATCTAGTTTTCCTGCTCGGCCCAGGACATCAATCATGCATGCATAATGCTCTTGAGTTGGTTCGATCCTAAACGAGTCTTTCATTGTTTCAAAATATTTCTTGGCTTCTGCAACTAAGCCAGCATGATTACATGCATAAAGGACACTAACTAATGTTATGTGATTTGGAGATACACCATCTTTTAACATCTCACCAAATAAATGAAGCGCCTGTTTCGCATGTCCATGTTGGGCAAGTCCTCCAATCATTGCCGACCATGAAACGATACCTTTCTTAGGAACCTCATGGAAAGCACAGCTAGCATCTTCTATACTTCCACACTTAGCATACATGTTAACTAGAGAGTTACCAGCAAACACATCTGACATGAACCCAAATTTCAACACATGAGCATGTATTTGTTTCCCCTGTTCGTACGCTGATAAATTTGCACATGCATTTAGGAGAGAACTGCAAACAAATGAGTCTGGCTTGAGATCCATATCTTGTAACTTCAGATACAGTTTCATAGCTTCTTCACCTTGACCAAGTAGAGCATAAGCTGTTATGAGAGAGGTAAAAGATGGCAAATCCAGAGTAGGGCACTCGTAAAAAATTCTAGCTGCATCATCCAACTGGGTACATTTTCCATAAGAATCAACAAGACTGTTTATAACAAAGGTGTCACACAGAAATCCCGACTTCACAGAGAGTGCATGCACTTGTTTGCAGACGCTGGCAGCCTGCAAGCCCGCAGCAGAGTTGAGAATGGCAAGTAAGGTTGTCTGATCAAATCCAATTCCTTGGGTGAATGTCTGAGTAAAAAGGTCTAGGCATGCATCGTCTGCCTCATTCTGCGAATAACCAGAGATCATAGCATTCAATGCAATTAAGTCCTTCCCGGGCATCAGATCATAGATCAACCTCGCATCCTTGGTTAAATTACACTTGCAATACATATCAATAAGACCAACACTCACAAATGGATCCAAAATTATATCTTTCTTTATCAAAAGAGAGTGCAACCCTTTACCCAACTCAGGGAGCTCTAGTGCAGCACAAGCCTTGAGAGCACTCGATAATGTGAACATGTTTGGCCAAATTCCTGACCTTCTCATCTGATTCAACATATCTATAGCTTGCCATTGGCATTCATGAAGAACACAACCAGCAATAATAGCATTCCATGAAACAATGTCAGGTACTACAATTCCCTCAAAAGCTGTAATGGCATCCTTAAGATCTCCCCCTTTTGCATACATGTCGACGAGTGCATTAGACGAGAACGGATCAGAACCATAGCCAAGCTTCACCAAATACCCATGTATTTTCTTTCCTTCAACAATATCTACTAACCCAGTACAAGCATTCAATATATTAGATAAACTATATTCATCCGGCCTGACTCCACTACCAATCATGTCACGAAACATACACATCGCCTCACTAAAAAAATCATTTTGCGTGTAACAAGAAAACAACGCATTCCAAGAAACAACATTTCTTTCCGGGATTTCCTCAAACAACATCCTAGAATCCACAAACTCGCCACATTTCGCGTACATAACAACCAAAGTATTCGCAACGAAAACATCAGAATCAAATCCTGTAACCACAACAACCCCATGAAGCTGCTTACCAAGAAAAAGCTCCTTCTCAATAGAACATGCCTTAAGCACACTAGGAAAAGTAAACTCATTACATCTAAGACCCAAAGAATGCATTTTTAAGAAACCCCATATAGCATCTTTACCAAAACCATTCTGGGAATACCCAGAAATCAAAGATGACCAAGAAACCAAATCTGGTTCAGGACTTTCATCAATCAGTTTATGTGCATATTGAAAAATACCACATTTTGAATACAAATTAACTAAATGGTTCCTATATTTACTATGATTAGATAACCCAAGTTTGGTTAAATGGGCATGGATTTGAAGAGCTGGGGTTAAAGACTTAGTTTTGGAAAGGTGTGAAAGGAGGTTTGTGTAGGAAATATAGTTGGATATAGAGGTCGAAAAGAGGCTATTTTGAAACTTGAAAATCGGAGAAGGAAGTGTGAATTGTAGGTGATGAAGAGGACTTCTATAAAGGCGGCAAATTCTTGATTCGAAAACCATTGCCCAATTGGGTTCGTTTTGACCAGCAAGGAGCACTTCGATAGCAGCTAGTCACTGGTGCAAATCTATGTGATGCTGTTTAAGTTGCATGAAATATAAGAGAGGAGACAAGTACTAAATCGCATCTACGCAAATTATTAGTTTTATCCCCCTTACACTCTTATGATACATCCGACCACATAACATAGCAAGTAGTCCCAAATTCTTATAGGAGCATGGGGCTCTTGATAAAAATCAAGAGAAGTGTTGAAAACAATCCTAAATTTGATGGGAATTTAGAAGTGTATTTCACTTCCGTAGCAAGACGAAGAGTGTATTTAAGTTCAGTTGATCAAATAAAGATTGCTTTTAAGTTTGTTAATAGTTTGGAATGAAATTAATAATGTACACCAAGTTTAGGGTGTATTCATTACTTTTCAATTTTCTCTTTAAGAGAGTAGACATATTTTTTAAATTTGTAGTGTAACGGTGTAAGTGCCACTATAAATTATCTCATCAAAAATAAAATATGTTGGGATCAAAATAATTAGAGTGTCTTGCGAAAGTTAATAATTACAATTATATAGCGATGATAAATTCAATACCAAAAAATACACTACATATTACTATTTGATAATGATGATTTGATCAACTAACTCACATATTGAAAAGTAAATTTTGAAAGTATAAAATCTATTAAGGAATAAATTTTCACAAGACTTAAACGAATGTATTATGGATGTTATTGTATTGTGATATGAGAAGAAAGCTCCAAACTTTTCCAGAAAGGAATAATCAATTATTGAAAAGATTAATATTTTCAAAAAACAAAAATAATTATGGTGATACGTTCTGATTTTTCTTTCAGAAAAAAGTAAAATTCAAATATGATAACAATTGGGGAAAAAAATCTAACGAAATGGATACCCTAAATAGAGTCCTAAATTTATTTTCTTTATATTTCTTCTTTTCCCTATTTGTCAATGGCTAAGAGCATGCAGAAATTCAATTTTAAGAAACAAATTAAACCCAGCATTCTCTAACAACATGTGCATCTTAATCTTGATGCAAATAACCTACTTGATATGAAGCATATACATAACACCCATAGTTTTGGATCACTTAGAGCTGATAAGCATGTTACAATGCTAAGTAATATTATAGATCATTGAGCTCAAGTCGATCGCCAAATGGTTGAGGCAATAGGACTAACAACATGGAGATTCCAAGTCCAAACCCCAATAACAAAAAATGGTGTGAGTCGATCTGCTCCAGTCTTGGTAGACGGGATTACCTTGGACACATGTGCCTGTGGGTCAGACAAGATGTCCGTTGAATTAGTCGATGTGTGCACAAATTAGGCAAACACCACCAATGTCACAAAAGATTATAGATCATTCAGCAGAATGTTGACTGAAGAAATCAGCTCCACACTCTATGTCATCTGTCTTGCTGCTTCCAGATTGAGCCATCAATATTCTGTAGACTCTCTTTGAACAAATCTCTCCCAATCTTCTATCATCTGACACCATCCCTTCCACTTTCAAATCTTTCAGCAGAAATTCTTTCTCATGCACCTGAAAGTTTTTCAAGAGTGAAAATATGTTAAGAGGAACTCGTTTTATCCCCCCAAAGGATCAACATAATTACAACATGAAATGTATCAACATCCGACCTTCCATTCATTGTTTTTTGCTTAGACTAGATAAGTACAACGAAGCAAGTGGAATTGAATTGTATGAACTGAGATGTTACCGTAACATTTCAATTTTTAGTATAATCTAGCTCTTGTTTGAACTGAATCATATGAATGGCACCTTCCATGACAGTATCCTCATTAACAAGAATGAATGACATTTACCAGAGAATATAGCTCCACAAAGTAGTTTGCCCTCTAGTAAATGACATTTCTTAAGCATACACTCCTCAGTGCTCTCAGATGAACTGAACATAATCCTAATCTAATGTAAGTTTCTGAAGAAATATTAACCTTCCTTAGAAATGTCTTCATATTATCCAACATCTTAAGTTGAATACACTGGTGAAAGGGAGAGGAATAGTGTAACAAGACCACTGCATCACTACCTTTTCTCTCCCTTAGCCACTGTTGATAGCCAGAATCCTAGTTAGCTAGAAGTTGGACTTGCAGATTGTAGCAAGTATTTGCAGTGACACTGGAAGGAAGTATCGTTCTTGATAATATCTACCCATACATACAAGGCCGTAAAAGTAAAATAGTGAACCAGAAGTCACAACATGATATCAGTAAATGAGAAACCTTTTCCAAGGAGATGGAGGAAATTTTATTGCTTACCGATTTACTTGGATCCATGTAAACACGCAAAAGAGATTTCATTGTGGGATATTTATTCCATATGGCAATGGCAAATCGTGGCTGAACCTTTGGAATAGCTACCAATGCTTTCAACCTGCAAGAGACAACAAATCCAACAATAACGCAATAGCCACCACTACCCTAGGCATCGAAGGTGGGAAAATGGGTAAACGCTTGTAAAAGTGGGTAAGCTTTTAAAGTTAAGTGATAAAGTAGCTTACTTTTACTATTAAACACACAATTAACCATTTTGAAACTAAGATCAAGTAGAATCCTCATAGTAAGGTAGAAACTAGCCAAGACAGAACTAGCTAAATTGGGATCATAACTCAAACATCCTCGTTGGAGTCAAATGGAGCAGGAGAAGACCGTACAATTCAGCAGTAAAGGATGGATATCTATCTAAGTCGATCAGGAATGGTGATAAAATAAGTATATAGAAAAACAGAAAAATGAGACTTAAGTAAAGATAGAGATACAACAAAAAAACTAGCAGATTTTTACTAGACTAACTTGGAAAATGTTCCGCACATATAACTATGTTCTTGCTTGGTTCAATAAGCTCTAAAAGATTAATGAAAGAGCTTAGCAACATGACGACAATTCACTTAAGAGGGTTTCTCAAGGCAGTATAGGTTTTAATGAAACCAAAAAGGTAAAAAAATAAGGAAGATTCATTATTATTCAACCAAAAAAAGGTTCTTATTAAGAGAACAGTTGAGGCCAAGATAGTGGGTGATTCACAGCCTCGAGAGTTCACCAGAAAACTTATACAGCTTTTGTACATTACACATGTTTATGGATATTGAGAAAATTTAAACTTCTAAAATGGATAACAGCACAAGCACTTACCATGGGCTCTTTTTTATCTGGTTCTTGTCAACGCAACCCTTGGGAATAAGAGAACCATTTGCATTAACAGATAGTCTTGTTAACTTGTTTCTGTGGAAAACCAAGAACATCTTAGCAATGACATATGAAACCATAAACAGTAAGAAAACGTTAACTTCTTTATCATCTCTATTTAATCTAGGCAGTTGGTCCAGATAACGGAAGTCCTGAGACATCTGCATATTGAAATGTCTCAAGCATCACATCTCATTTGAACCAAGAGCAGAAAGGACATAAACGACTTTTTCTATTCAACCGAATATAGTACTCTCTCTGGCCACATTCCACTAGCAGTGGAGGATCAGTCCCTAGGAAATGAACCAGGACTTGATACTCTTTCATTATAATCTTCAAAAGCATTTTGCTTTGATAAGACATAATATTGCATTCCTTATCCAGGTGTTACTAATATAAGTATATCTATTTCACATTTTACCCCACATAAAATAACATATTGATGCCCACATAAATTATACCACCACTAATAATACAGAGTTTATCGCTGAACCAACTGTTGCAATAGCTATTGCACAGTTGTAAACAGGAAAACCAAATGTTTTATTAGTTATCCAGGAACATATGTAATGTGGAGTTTCATTTTTGCAGACTAAATGTTAAAATGAGTATCATGTTGCAAACTAAATGTTAAAATAAGTAATCCATAATTTTATGTCAGGTTTATTTTTCCTCAGGCGTCCAGCCACCAAAATAATTATGGTGCCATTATTTCTGAGTTTTTCATTTGCTCACTTACATGTCTTATGAATGTGAAACGGTCTATTACCATTTGGCACTGCATTTGTTTAATACTGAATGTCACTGGATATTTAATTGAACTGTATACAACTACAACTCAATCAAAAACTTGTTAGCATAATACCTCGGGACCCCCTGAACTTGGCACCACTTATTCGGTGCACACTTAAACTATTTATTTGTCCTAATTAACCCTCTATACTTGGCTATTTGGTAGTCTTCACCCCCGTGGACAACCTCAATCCAGGGAGGAGGTGTAATGCGCTCGCTGCCATGTGTATATTTTTTGTCCACGTGGTATTGTTAATAATAAGATATATATTTTACCTTTTAAATTCATTAACTTTTCAAAAGTAAATAAGCAGAAACCAATTCTTGTTTTCAATGAACTACTTCCTCTCTTCACTTTTACTTGTCCACTATTCCCAAAAATAGATTTTCACTTTTGTTTGTCACTTTTAACATATTAAGAGAAGACAATTATTTTTTTTTCATGTTTTACCCTTAACATTAATTACTTATTCCCCAAATCATTTTCCAAGATCTTATACTAAACATCAATTAATAGGGGTAGTGTGGTAAAATAACAATGTCAATCATTGTTTTCTTAATGGGTGTGTCAAGTTCAAATGTGACAAGTAAAAGTGAAAGGAGGGAGTACAAGCTTGGCATTGTTGAATGAAATCATCGTACCACCTGCCCACTCATCCGAAAAGGAAAGGAAAAAATGTGACCAACTGTTTTCCTCCTGAAAGCAGCATACTCACTCCGTTCACTTTTACTTGTCCAATTTGGACGTTGTACACCCCTTACGAAACAATGATTAACAGAAGTATCGACTATCATTCCACAATACCCATATTAATTGATGTTTAGTCTTAGAAGGTGTTTGGATTGGCTTAAAAGTTGGTCAAACCTACTTTTAAGTCAGTTTTTGACTTCTAAAAGTGTTTGACAAATATAAAAAATAACTTAAAATAAGTCAAAAATGACTTAAAATCTATGATGCTCGGACTCTTCAAAAATGTCTACGGGTGCATGTCAGATTCTCCAAAAGTAGTGTATTTTTGAAGAATCCGACACGGGAGCGGCAATGTAAATGAAGACTCTGCACAACTTAGCTTAAAATAAGTTAGGAAGTGTTTGGCAATGTCAAAATGACTTAAAGCAAGTTTAAAATGACTTAAAATAAGTCAAAAACCAAAAGTAGGTCTCCCCCTACTTTTTATTTTTTGACTTAAAGTCATTTCATTTTGACTTTTTATTTTTGACTTAAAAGCTACTTTTTTTAAGTCAAACCAAATGAGCTCTTAAGGTTTAGGGAAATGATTTAGATAAGTAATTAATGTTAAGGTTAAGACATGGAAAAAAATGTGTATTTTTGTCTTGATATGCTATATGCTAACAGTGACAAGTAAAAATGAAAATTTATTTTTAGTATAATGGACAGCTAAAAGTGAATGAAGGGAGTAATAAACAAGAGATCCAATCTTTCCTAATTAAGAAGTTTAGTAGACAAAACGTAGTAGTATACAAAACTCCACAAATTCATAATTCAGTTGGTATTAATCAATAAACTAGCCCAATTTTTTTTATTTCAAATTACTACAAGCCTGACACATCGATATTATATAGATCGTCGCATGCATGGCAATTGTCCAAAAATACGAATTCACTGAAATATAACTATGACATACCTAAACTGACAAGAAGCTAAGCTGCAAGTCAGCCCAGCTACATGTTCAGCTAATTCAGCTTCATCGACACAGTGCCTAGAATGCACCTTAACAAAGTTAATTGTTAATTTTGACAGAACCTGCCAAAGAAAAGAGGAATTCAATACCCAAGGAATAGCACCAGAATTTCAAGCTTACACGAATAAGATACTTAATTATTTCCAATAATCTATGTTGCTCGGAATCTTCAAAAATGTCGACGGTTGCATGCTGGATACTCAGAAAGTAGTGTATTTTGAAGAATCTGACAGTGTGGTAACAAATTTGGAGAGTCCGAGCAACATAGCCAATAATTACGAGAATCAGTGTTGCAACAACCTCCTCTATAAGTGGTCGTTTCCAACCAGTATGATTGGCAGGGTCCTTGTATTGTCCTTGTTCCCTATCAGCAATGGCAGTAACAGTTGTAAGATACTGTAGAAAATTAAATATATTTCTGTTGTCTTAAGCATCTTGAAGCCTTGACCAGTTGTTTCTTTGAGCTATACATGAAATTCATTCGGTTGAACATAGAGGATTTGGAACAGAAGAAGTGCTTAGACTTGCCAAAATACGATGACAAAAGTAAATATATTCACAAGCCAACCTTTGAGGGGCACACAGAATTCCACCAACAAAAAAGAAAATAAATATATGCCCAATATTAGAATGCTCTATGTTACATGGATTCCATTACAAGTATCAAATATGCTATGTATGACAATTACGTTCTGTAATCAGCAAATAATTTGTGTATTAAGAAGGATTATGATATACACATATCCAGGTCATAGCAACTCAACAAGCTCATGTACCAGAGGAGTTGTCTAACAAATCAAATTTGAACTGCTGCATTTCTCTGTATACTTCTAGAATATAGCAAATAAAAATAAAATTACAGTTCGAATTATTTCAACTAATTTTTTATACCCTGGCTTCAACTAATAAACTAACATGCTGCTACTTTTTCTTACAACCGAGAAATCCCCGAGGGACTCTGCTACTTATTCTTTCTTTCTTGAAAAAAGAACAATTTAATACTAAGCACATGGTCTGAAAGCATAACAATAGAAAACCACAAGAAACCTAGAAGGTGAATTGTCATTGTACTTGATACAATTTGCACCTCAAAGCTTTCATTCCATCTTACTTAACATTCAATAAAAAAAAAATAATTAACAACTAACTGTTAAATTCATGATCTGTGACAACTTGATTTCATCTCTCTAGCATGTCACACACGAACAGAAGAACATTGAAAAAGAAAAGGCACCTATAACAGAAAGTTCTATAAATGGAGAACAGATGTAGTCAACAATCCAATGGTCAAATTCAGGATCTTCTGTCATACATGAAGAAAAAAAGGTTGAAAAAGAAAATTATGGCAACAACAGAGGTCTACAAATGGAGAACAGAGAAGATATATTTGTGTGTGTGTATACATAGCAGAAAAAGAAACACATTCAAGAGAAAATAAATTAACAAACTTAACAATAACAACAACTACACCTCAATCCCAAGCTAGTCAGAAAATTTAATGAACTTAAAGTGAAAAAGAGTTGAGATGAAGGACAAAAATGAAGTTACCGTCAACCTTTTGTTGATATATGCCAAAAGCTTGTTTGTGAGATAACAAACTGTATGAAGAGGATAAAGGCGTTGGACACGGGAAACATGACTCAGCAATGATTTGCTATTCACAAGGTTGCAAAACTCTTCGGCCTCAAATATGAATAATACATATGGAACATCGATAACTTCAGATGAGATCTGCACAAAAGTAATGAATCTAATGACCTCAATAAATTGTAAAAGCTAGAAAGAATAGCTACGCTTAGCTTTAGAGAACCAATTCAAAAACTTGATACTGTAGCAGCACAAACATACACATTGCCATCATACACAAGACAAGTAAAAAGCTCAAAAGAATGAAATCAGAGACCAGCAAGACAAACTTTTGCATAGTACAAGAAAAACAATTTGGCACAGTTTTCAAAACCTTCACCAGCTCTCTTTCAAAGCCCAAATGGACATTCGATAATATTATTTCGTGTTACTGTTGAATTATGTAATCACCTCATTGAAAAACTCAATTATTAGAGCAGGGACATTTTTTACTTGTACAGGTCCCCATCCTACACCTACTTACATGCAAGCTTGATTCTTTTACTTGGCCTAGTATATGAAAAAATGACATTTGCCTTCAACTCTGACACTATTTTTTGTTAAATAAGGTGAAGTAACAAGTTGCTCTTATACCATTTTCCATGAGATCACCTCATTTAAAAACTTTAATTGCTAGACACAGGTGATAACAGTGAAAGGAAACTTCAATATTTCAAAAATATGGAAGAAGTTACAGATATCATGTAAAAAAGTAAGAGACATTAACTTATACTACTTTATTATCAGATATTATTATAATTACTTCCTTCTTTTTTTTTTTTTTTTTTTGGGGGGGGGGGGGGCATCATACTAATAGAGTGTTGAACTAAAGAATGAGGACAAGTCCTTCCCCCACAAGTAAGTTCTTTGAAATAAAGGGGCCGCCATGACTTATTTATATTGTTTTGATACTTAAACGTTGAACTAAAGTTACTAAGTACCTTGGTTGATATGAGACTTATAGTATGTTTTAGAATTTCTTATGGTATCAGGTGATTGCCATAGTATTATTGTGTTAAAACTAAATGAATAGTAGAGGATATCACTTATATTGGTGCATTTTCAGCTTACCGAGGACATGACCTTAGATAGGAGGGTATGGAGATCGCAGATAAAGAGTAGAAGGTTAGTAGGTACTTAAGAGTGGTCCTATTACAAGCTTACGCTTGTATTTTCTTATTCGTTATCATTTGTGGTTTACTGTGTTTAGGTGATCGCACCTTGTTGCTGTTGTTGCTAGGATTCCTTGCATATAGTTGTTACTGCTTTGCTGTTTGTTGTCATGTTTCTCCCCACCACCTGTTTTTTTTCGTTTTATTACTGCTTTGATTTGCTTGAGCCGAGGGTCTTTTGGAAACAACCTCTCTACCTTGGAGAGGTAGTGGTAAGGATTGCGTACACTACACTCTACCCTCCCCAGACCCCACTTGGTGGAATTTCACTTCACTGGGTATGTTGTTGTTGGTATAGTGGAACGTAATTCAGTTTCGACATGGAAATATGGACATCCCTAGAAGCAAGGGAAACTCTGTCCAGTTTTTTAGAACCCCGGAGAGGCTTGCGTTGGTGTCTTACCCCTTAATGGTCTGTCCCCACCCTAGATTGGGTTGTGACAACTAACACCCAAATATTACCATCAGGAAAAAAAAAAAAAAAAAACTTTGCAAAGATAATTGACATCCAAATGGATATAGCACAAAAATGCATATATATATTAGCACTAAATATAGTCAATTATGCATCTATTATTCTACTGAAAGTTAAATGGGTACAGTAGTTATGTATATGACATTAGAAACAACAATTAAAAGTGGCCAAGTAGCTTAAGATGATAGGCTAACTGAAATTTGCCAAATTTCTGAAGAATAAGTTACCTTAGATAGTTCCTCTGGGACACTCATTGACCACACAATAGACTTTTCAATTGGATTTGATTTAATTTGGTAGGAAAGACCTTTCTCCGCAAGCCTTGTTAGCAAATGGCCTGACTTGGTAACATTGCCATGTAAGACAGACGTTTATATGCAATAAAGGACACATGGAATGGTGTGGGAAAGAAACAAGCAGAGAAATAAAAAATCTACCTCCAATTGAACCTAGTTCCACCACTTTAGTGTCAATTTGAGCTACAATAGACTTATGTGCGAACTTTCCCTTTTCCCACTTCTGCTTTTCCTTTTCTAGCTTTTTCTGCTCAGCAGCTTCAGCCTTTTCGGCTGCCTTTTGCAATTTCTCTTGCTGAATTATGAATATACATTAGATTATATTCCATAATTACTTAACCTCCTCCAAATAAATAGGCTTTTGTAGGAAGGCTTACCTCTTTCTGATATCTCTTTTCTTCCTTTAGGCGTAGCTGTTCTTCCTTTGACATCCTCATTTTCCCAGTTGCTGCATCCCCGCTGCTTTTGTTACTTCTATTGCCTTTACCTTTGATTTTTGGTCTTGAGACCTCATCGTTTGGCTCCAAGGAATCATTTTCTTCATCAGGATGATCATGGTCCTGTAAGCAAATTGCACCAAAAAAATTTACATAGAGACGAGCCCTTTTGAGAATTTAGAAAAGCTCTAGAGTCTAGACAAAGATACAAACATTAAGAACATGTCTTAAGCCCTATCCTTCACGCTAACTATTTAGGCACATCTGTGAATACACTTACAATCTTCAAATGCCTTTCCAATTTGACAGAATATGCACTCAAGAGTTCTGGACATGAATCAGCTCTCCAGGGTGCACAGATCTCTAATTCAGATTGAAATATTCTTACCCTTCTGATAAAATAAGAAACCCCTAGAGGTTCAAACCATTTTAAAACAGTTTGGATATTCACAATGTATGAGTAGGTGTATTAAAATGAAATGAGTGGTTCACGAACCAAACTCACTCTGCTAATTTAAGCACAACTTGAGTTCATTTATTTAGTACAAACTCAGTTTAGTCAGACCATTTGACTAAATGTTGTTCATGAGTAATTTCTTCCATATTTTCTTTGGAAAAAGATAAATAGTTGAGCACTTAGGGTTTCCGTTTTCCACCTCAGTTCCTCAATGCTGAACAGCTCTAAGCCTCCTTCTCACTACCTTCTCTCACCTCTTTTTCAAAGTTTCTCCTTTACCTCTCCCCATCAGTAATTTTTCCTGTCTTTAGGTATTGCCTAAATCAGGCTTCTCCTTCTCTTTTTCTCCAGTCCAATCTAAGCCGCACCTTCTCATTGCTATGGTTGTCTGCCAATTATACTTTTCTTCCAAAACCTTTTAACTCATTTTTGAAATCTCGCTTTACTCAGTACTTCTTTGAGTGAACCCTGAGAAATGAGATCAATTTAATAGCATGATCGAGAGTGAATTTGATTGGAACTGATAAGAAACTTCGCGAAGGGTTAAAAACAGTTAAGTGTGTTCTTAATTTAAGCTCGACTTCAAGTTTTTTCTTGCGAATCCAGAAGCGACCGTAAGTGAGCAGTGCTGAAATTGAATATTCACAACTCTGTCTAGCTCACTTGTTCACATTCCAATCTACAGGAGTATGTAGTTCCACTCCCATATTCATCCTGATAAAAGCTGGCTTTTCTTTGAGTGGCACACATGCACAAGATGAGGGGTGCTGTGGGGGGGAGGGGGGCGGGCCTATTGTTATGCAAACAAATTAGAAAATGTTGAAAAAATAACTAAAACTTGAACCAGGCAAACACACCAGAGAAGGACCGGCTTCAGTCGAATTTTGATGAGAAACATCCTCTGGCATTCGCATAAAATTGTCAATACCTGTTCAACAGTTTTTCGTCTCAGTTGAATAGCCTAACAGTTAATTTCAGTCAATGGAAAATTTGATTCTATAATCGTATTAACTAGTAGATTAAACAGCAGTAGCTTACCAAGAGAAAAGGTGGACCCGAAAGGTCTGGGGCTCCATTCTGTCTCCTTAACAACTGCCTCCGTGGAACAAACTTTCTCCTCCTCCTTCCAGGTACCATGATAACCACTATTCTCGGATTCATTATCAGACTCCAAACAAATTACTCCATCAATTCCTGAGTTAAAACAGCCCATTGTGCAAGGAAAGGTGCAAACAAAACTCTGAGGCTAAACGGCAATTTATTTTCATAAGTAGTAAAATAAAGTAGTATTATGCCAAGAAAATAGGAAAACCAGAATAGACCACCAAATGAGAAGAATATGCAAGTATGTCAAAGCTAGGTTGTCATTTTCTTATTTGTACATATAAACCTAGATTGATAAACTAATGTACCCATAATCTTTGGGTTAACAAATACTATAAGGACTAAAATATCTCTTTAACCATCCCTTTTTTGCATCAGAGAAACATGTAATGAGGAGTACGCCTAACTAGCTCAAAGTGTTATGGCTGACCTTGAATGAGGCACACGAAGAGCAAACAAAACAAGTGAATCATGTTGAACTGATACTAGAATCTGCCATTGCAGAAAATAACTGAATAATCAAACACAACTCATAGGAGCAGGCAGGGTGATGCAGCACGAAGAGCAAACAAAACATCCACTCATCCAGGTTATAAAAGTATTACAGAAGTATCCTAGTAGTAGTTCAACATGATGTATGTCCGGGGGAAAGGAAAACACACTAAAAGGGCAGCCCGGTGAGCGAAAGATCCCGCGTTCACACAGGGATTGAGGAAGGGCTGCAGCCCAAGAGGGAGCGAAGTAGGCAGCCTACCCTGATGCCAGTATCTGATTCCACAGCTCGAACCCGTAACCTATACGTCACACTGAGACAACTTTACTGTTGCCCAAGGCTCTCATTTGGAAAGACAAACACACTGCACAGAGAAAATGGGTTTGATTCCAGAAGGCAAAATGTGACCGGAATATGGTGCACTAATTTTCTGGCTCATTCTAGTAACAGACCAAAGATATTGTAAATGCAATTCATGTTCTTTGTACAGTTAACTAGTAAAGTTAAAGAAGCAAAATCATATAAGAATCATTAAAGAAGGGCCTGGAAATGATTCATTTAAATACTTATATGAAAGCTTAAGCTTCAACTTGCCGTTGTACCGTCTAGAAGACAAAGCAACTGTAATTGCATGCTAGATCAACAAAAGCAACATTCGAACTTCTGGAGATGAATGATGATGATGGAAAACAATTAATTTATTCTAAAAACAGTGATCATCAAATAAAGAATGTGTCAGGAAACTGAAGTGATCGACCTATAATGTTAACTAATGACAGAAGGAATAAATAATAGATAAATACTATTCCCTCTGTTTGAATATATGCTTGTGCTCCGCACTGCTTTCCTATTGTTGTCGTGTTTTTCTTCACTGTCGTTTTTTTCTTTCCATTACTACTTTGATTTTCTTCACTTGAGCCGAGGGTCTTTCCTAAACAGTCTCTCTACCCCCAAGAGATAGAGGTAAGGTTTGCGTACACTCTACCCTCCTCCTTAGACCCACTTTGTGGGATTCCACTGGGTATGTTGTTGTTTTTGTTGTACTATTCCCTCCATCTCAATTTATATGAAAGAGTTTGACTAGGCACGAGTTTAAGAGAAAAAGAAAGAAATTTTAAACTGTGGTCTAAAACAAGTCATCAAAAATTGTGGGCTATAAATCATCTCATTAAGGATAAAATGAGAAAGTTGAAGTTGAATTGCTATTAGATATAGAAAGATGTCATTTTTTTGACATAATAATAACTATGATGTCTCAAAACTTGACATTTGGTTGAAAACTTCAAACTAGACATGTTTAAAGGCTTACCGCCATCTTTGTTGTGGTCTATAATTGAAGAAGAGCAATTCTGCGAAACAGCATTAGCTTTAGTGCATCTGACTATTGGAACACTATATTTTGAAAGCTCTGATGCCGGGGTTTCAGCAACCATGGATGGGGTCAAATCAAGACCTGAAGAAGAGAAAAAAATTGTCAACATTTGTTTTCCCCTTTCTTCTTTTTTATTGTCCAAACTTGCATGTATTCGACATTGTTTTCTGAATTATCAGACCAAAAACAAATCAAGCTAAATCTCAAGTGGAAATGTCCCCAGCATTGTTGTGTTTTTGCATAATTCTTAAATAACAGCTTGGATTCCGACTAACCCATAATCCATAGCCAAACAAAAGCACTTAAATAATCAAAGAATGAAATAGTAAAGGTCCAAATGTTGTATATTTCATATTGATTTCTAAGAAATGAGACATCATCTACAGTAAAAAAGACTAACACGCGTAAACCAAACTGTGTGATTTCAGACTAATTTCTGAAAAATCACTCAAATTTAAACAATGATAAAGAAATATGAACTCACATGAAGACTTAGGGTCCGAAATTGAAGAGGAACCCAATGAGCATCTAACAAAGGAGACTTCAGGTTTGGATAAATCAGACATGGGAGTATCAGCCACGAAGGAAGGAGTGGACTTTGAAGGCCTAAACGGCGTCTCATCATCATCTTCGATTACCAGAACTGTGGGGTTCCAATTATTAGACTTTTCGGTTCTTTGCTTCTTTTTGAATGGAATTGTCAGCGGCGTCGATAGATCAATGGTGTCATTCTGCTTGACGGAGTAACCATATCCGCCGTTGCCACCGTCGTCTTCGTCATCGGAGAGAATGTCGACGGAGATCGGCTGAGACATTTTGAGAAATTCGAATTTGAAGGGTCGAGGGTTTTAAGCTTCAGCGTTAGGGCGGGAAAGGAAATAGGCAATGCCAAAGGAGTTGTGTGATTTGGGGGTTCAAAATCGAACCATAATTATAGTTAATGCTTTATTGATATCGAATAGATTATTTAATTTTTTTATCGGGTAAATTGTTAATTCATTAAGAATTGCATTTACATATTTTCTATCTATCTATTTGATCGCTACAACAAAGTAAAACAAAAAAAAAAGAAGATAAACATTAAAGTGGAGCGTGTATGAATAAATTATCATATGAATATTGTAAAGAAAAAGAAAAATATCTATAAGATGAATTGTATTGCTTAGTCCAAATCAAATAATGCACACATATATGTAAATAATATTTTCATTTTGACTTAACTCAACAATTGATATCAAATTTGACGAGATGAGTATGGAGATGACTAAATGATGATAAGTATATGGTTTGCTTTACTACTTTTTATCATATCAAGGTAACTTGAAAGATGCACTGGCATATGAAGTAGTTAGCTATGGACTTTGGTGTCTATAAATATTCTATCATATAGGTATTAACCATTGTCTACATACATAGAATTATTTAATTTGAGGAGTGGAACATAGTTTGAGGAGAGTGGGGATGTACGAACAAGGTTCCATATTAGTAGTTAAAAACAAGAAGAAGCTATGTGTGTTCGGTTTGAAGGAAATTGTTTTATGTGGAATTTTCTTGCTTAAAATAAGTGATTTTCTAGTGTTTATTAAGTAAAACAAAACATATTATATCAAAAATAGCTATATTTAATCTAGGCAAACACTACCGAGTGAACATGAGGAGCGAGGGTGTGTTGTGAACTAAATTGTCTATACAAGGGTCTATGGGCTAGAAGGAGTGAATGAGACTGATCTAGTTGGAATTATTGGGCAAATTGAAATGTTGATGAATTTTATTTGATATTTAGGTCCAATTACTAATTAATTAAATAGGACTTGGAGTTAAACGTAAGAATTTATGCATATTATGATGTTCACTATTCTCTCTCATCCCAATTTTGTATTAGTTAAACTCTCACCTCCTTTAATTTCTTCTTATCGATCGATTCCCCTATATGTTATTTCTATTGCAATTTTCTTGTAATTATATTTAGTAGTTGTAATACTACAAGTCAGTTTCCTTGTGTGTAGATTTGTCAAAAAGGGTCCGCTCAATTCCATTCAATCCAAGTCTCGCGGGTCAAGAAATTTGATGGGTTAGGACAGGCAGGCCCTTTATTTGGAAGGACCTGAAAATGCTCAATCCAATCTAACCTTAGAAGGGTCACGGGTTGGGGAGGGTTAGCCCTTATTTTTTTTCCTTTTCTTTTCTTTTTAATCGTAAAATTCTATAACATCAAGAAAATCAAAAGATTTTCAAATCACTTATGGCAAACAATGGTATTGTTTCAATAACACTAGCAAAATATCTAGTGTGATTAGCATGTATCTAGGATACTAGAAACGTGAAATACATGTATTTCGAGATACATGTATCTGGACACACCAAAATCTGATAAGATACGTAGTATTACAACATAACTTGCATCTAATTAATTAGCTCATACACTAGTGAGATTTATGTAAGTTATCCTTAAATAAATAGTTTTGGCTCATGGACCGACCCAATCAAGGCTCAAGGGCGAAAGACTTAAATGGATTGGACTTATAAACCTTAGTTTTAAATGAGCTTGAAAAATCATATCTCAACCCTACCTCAATAACGGGTTAGATTGGACCGGCCCCAATGACAAAGCCCATTCTGACGGCTCTACTTGTGTGTATGAACAGGTTATCGAATTTGTTTCAGTGTCAAATGATGAAGGTGGGAGCTATCATCGGCTATAGAACTGAGTACGTTGGAGAATGGAAAAAAGTGGAACACTACATTATTTTTCTGCTTTTGTAAGGGATGTTATTTACTTCATTTTTAAAAAATTATTTTCTCATAAAAAATATTTTAAAAGAAATTCGATCAATCAAACATGAAAATTTAAAATATTTTCTTTTCCTTCGTATCAAACCTACATAAAGTGATTCATGAAAAAATCTTTTTTGCTTCCTAGTTCCTAAACATATATCTATACAAATATATGGAATATCTTTTTTTGTTTAAAAAATTATTCGATGCAGTTTCAGTTATTGTTCCTCATTAAACATCATATTGTTTAATATTATTATTACAGAAATAGTAAATATTTTAAAATAAGTTGAGCAGAATAAAAATAAGATTTCTTGTCCACTTTTAATTACAACAAAAGAAAATGGTCATAATCTCTTATAATTAAAAATGAGATATCTCCTTAAACATAAAGCTAAAAAATAAATTTATAAAAGACTAGAAAATTATTTTTTCCGAATAAAGGAATTACATGTACGTTTAATTATATTTGTTTCAATAGTATTGTTCATTCATTCAACATGAAGAGAGAATTAGAGAGTTGACTTCTTAAACCTTTAATATCCTTCTCTTTAGCCATAAGCAAAATATAGTATAGTTAATTAAGCACGTCTATCTATTCTTTTCATGCATTTATTTATTTTTAATAATTAGGAATATTATATTTTTTTTGACCGTCATGAAGTGGAGGTGGTGTTTTTTTAATATAAAAGTTTATAATAATAATAATAATAATAACGTTATGTTCACTTTAAATTTAAAAAGATCAATCAAACATCGTTTGGAGGCAAAACTTGGGGAAAGATTAATTAGACGGAATATGACATAATTGTAATCTACTTAGGATCTGATTTTATGTAGTGAGATTTTTTTGAGGTTAAGGATTAAAATAGAAAATTGATAAATATTTGAGTGGTGCTATTTTTCTTATCAGTATTATTTTTATACGTTTTTACTATTTTATTTTTCAATTTTTTTTTCTCATTAACTTCGGGTGTCATATTATTTGTTGTTATTATAAGTTCATGGACTTTTCACGAGAATATAACCAACATGATCTTTAATGTATGGGCAATGCTTTATTTTGGTCCTTAATGTATTTCATTTGATTTAATAAGTCATTAATGTATAATAAATGTGTTTATTTTAGTCCTTAATATATTTCACTTGATTGAAATAATCCTTAATATATGACAAAAATTGTTCATATTGATCCTTTACCGTAAAACTAATAGATTTATTTTTTAAAAAGTGTTCTGGTTCTTTTCCTTAATGTATGAATTATAAAGTTATGTATATACTACCTTTAGTAAACTCCACTCTAGCTAACTCATTTTTAATTATATTGTTATGTTATTTTTATTTGGTCAACATATATACTATGCATCAATTAATATAATAAAAAATACTATCATCATCACAATAGTTGACCGTCATAGTGATCCATATTAATTTGGTCATTACGTAAAAACAGACGATACATAGTGTAGGGATATATATATATATATATATAAATCATACTATAAAATGCGTGTTAAAATATTCCATAAAACTTTCATGTTAATTGCTAAGGGAAATTAAGCAAATACTCAATAAAAGCAAATTAATTATAAACATATATCTCTTTACATTCATACCCCACTAAATAATTATAATATATATTCCTAACTAATTTCGTTTAACTGATAGTGTGATGTTAAATTAGTATCATATATTGTATTGATATTATTAAGGCTGATAATTTCATTTTATTGACAGTAAATCATTTTCTGCATATGCATATATAGCCGTCTAGCTATTATTTTTAATATTTCTTGTTATCTATTATTCTTGTGTTTTTCTTTGAATGTTGTCTTTTGCAATTGGTGTTAGGGAAAATGGTCAAAAAAATATTAATGTACTATTCAAAATATAAGTAAATTTGTCTATTTCTTTTGTTAAAATTTTGATGTAGTAATATGCAATTAAAGATATGATATCTAAGTCTGATTCAATCCTAAAAGTTAGTTTGTGCCATATAAGTATATTATCAGTGTATTCTTCAATCAATGTGAGACTCTAACTCACTCTAATATAATATTATGATCGTCATAAAAGTTAAAAGTCTATTTTTTATTGACTCCTCTCAAAGTTCTAATCCAAGGACAACAAAAATCATAGTTGAAAGTTGGAGAGTAATTAAAGAGTTTTACCCTTTCTTCTCGAAGAAATTAGGGATGTAGAGTCTAATCATTTTAAGTTACAGTTTGCAAAAAAGGCAACGATGAGACGATTTGTTATAAATAAAAGTATTAATGAACCATAAGTGAATTCATAGACAAACAGCCAATTAAATTTTTAAGGACAATAATTACACTATCAAAGTCAATTTTAAATTTTTTGCAATTTTTTTTAAACATTAGCATGATGAACCCCACATTTTCCACCTTAAATAGTTAATAAATTTTATTTAAAAAAAGGTAGACCATTTCGTAAAAAAACAAAGTAGGGAAACGGTAACTCTTTAATAAAGTATTTGGGACACAAATGTTGACATTTTAACTAATGCTCAGAAATTATTTTTATATTTGAAAGCCATACTATAGTCTATATTATTTTACTTTTTTCCTCAAAGTTTGGAGAAACAAATATCAAAATAGGAAAAGGAAAAAAGGATTGGAGAAACAAGTATGTATGCTTCTATCGGTGGTACAGTAAATAGGATTGCTCCTTCCTTAATTAGAGGTCTCGGATTCGAGTCTTGAGTATGAAAAAATATTTAATAGAAAGCGTTATCCTTGAACGAAACCCTAGCGATTCTGAATTAGTCGAACTTTAATGCAGGTATCGAATACCAGATGGGAAACCAAAGAAAGAAGTATGTATACTCCTTTCTTCTTTTCTTTTGCCTTTTGTTGGTTAAGGAGGGTGGGGGGGGGGGGGGGAGGGTAATTTTTCGATATTATGATTTTTGTCAAATAACAAGTTTTCCTTCTTTATTTTTTATAAAATACTCGTGTGCCTGAAAGTCTTTGATGATAATATAAATTAAGATTTTTATCATGATTACAATTTTAGAGAGACGCGAAAGCAAAAGTTATATATGGTATCATTTTTGTAATTGAATAATCATTAATGAAA